TCCTTACAACTCATTGAAGCCCGTCGGTCTACTCCGGGTGACCGTGAGTTTGACCATAAACGAAGGATGTTACGTAAGGAAATTGGGCAAAGCTTGCGTAAGGACCGAGAAGCCTGGTGGTCGATGCGTGCTAATGAGCTGGAAGCAGCAGCTGCATCTGGTAACTACCGGAAGCTCTTCCAACTCATCCGAGCCACTGGCAGCAAGAAGTCTGGTGTGAGTGAAACAATCTGCGAGGATGATGGGATGCCAATCACTAACATCCATCGACGTCTTGGACGATGGGCAGAATTTTTCGAAGGGCAGTTCAACTGGCCTGCTGCTCCGGCAACATCGGTCAGACTGTCCTGCCCTCCATGGCCGGTGACGACTGATCCACCAAACGAGGAGGAAGTCCGCAAGGAACTCCAACTCTTGAAGCGTTACAAATCACCTGGCCCAGATGACTTACCTCCGGCTCTTTTTAAAGATGGTGGTGACTTTTTGACTAAGGAATTGACGACGTTGTTTACAAAGGTTTGGGAACTAGAGAGTGTACCAACGTCATGGAATGAGTCGATAGTTGTCCCTATCTTTAAAAAGGGTTCACGTCGTTCCTGTAACAACTATCGGGGGATAAGTCTACTTCCGATTGCGTCCAAGCTATTGGCTTCCGTCATTCTTCGTAGGTTGTTCAAAACCCGAGAAAGATTGACTCGCGAGGAGCAGGCTGGGTTTCGTTCTGGTCGAGGATGTATTGATCATATCTTCACCCTCCGCCAAATGTTAGAACACCGCCATACTTATCAAAGGCCAACAATCGTAGTGTTTCTTGACATCAGGGCTGCCTTCGATTCGTTGGACAGGACTGTTCTCTGGGATTGTCTATTGAAGAAGGGTGTGCCTGAGAAGTTTATTAACATCCTAAAAGCCCTATATAAAAACACCTCAGGCAGAGTGAGGGCATACAACCACCTCTCTCCATTGTTCCATTCGAGCAGTGGGGTTAGGCAGGGTTGCCCAATCTCACCATTCCTCTTCAACTTTGCCATCGATGACATTCTGGAAACAGCTCTGATGAATGTAAGTAATGGTGGTGTGGATCTGTTGCCTGGAGAAAGACTTCTCGACCTTGAGTATGCGGACGATATTGTCTTACTGTGCGATAATGCCCAAGGCATGCAATCCGCACTTAATCAGTTGGCAATCAGTGTCCGTAGGTATGGTATGTGCTTTGCACCTTCGAAGTGCAAAGTACTTCTACAAGACTGGCAGGATTCTAATCCTGTACTCACCCTGGATGGTGAGCAGATAGACGTAGTCGAGAAGTTCGTGTATCTGGGTAGCTGCATAAGTGCTGGTGGTGGTGTGAGTGATGTGATCAATGCACGAATAGTGAAAGCCAGAGCGGCTTATGCCAATCTGGGCCACCTTTGGCGCCTTCGTGATGTTAGTCTGGCTGTAAAAGGTCGGATCTACAACGCGTCGGTGAGAGCAGTTTTGCTCTATGCTTGTGAAACCTGGCCTCTCCGAGTTGAGGACGTTAGACGACTCTCTGTGTTCGATCATCGCTGTCTCCGAAGGATTGCTGACATTCAGTGGCAACACCATGTCAGTAATGCAGAGGTTCGGCATCGTGTGTTCGGGCACAGAGATGATAATTCAATTGGTGTCACCATCTTGAAACACCGACTTCGGTGGCTTGGACATGTTCTCCGAATGTCGTCCCAGAGAATTCCACGTCGTGCATTATTTGCCGACTCTGGGACTGGTTGGAAGAAGCGGAGAGGTGGTCAGTGCATGACATGGTGTCGTGGCATGAAAGAAAGCTGCAAAGGACTGGCTTGTGTTGGTCCTTCACGACTCCCTGGTTGGGGTCCGAGAGATGGTGCTACACAGTGGCTAGAGACGTTATCAGATATGGCTCAGAATAGAAGCCAGTGGCGATCCTGCTGTAACCTTCTTTTACTTTCTTCATAAAAAGTGGTTGTGTCTCCCTTACCTGAAAGATTTCTTCTGATTGTACCTTTCGTTCCCTCGTTACTACCACACTACCTTACACCAATCTCTTCGTCATTGTTCTCCTTTTTTTGCGCTCCTTAGCTTTTTTTTCTATTTCTCTTCGAATTCTTATTGTTTTGTGTGGCGCATATATATTGGCGCTCTCTTGTACCAATATTCATGTGTTTAAATAATAATTATAATTTATTCTTTTCATGTCTGCTTCTGATTTTTGACGTAGTGTGCTCATTGACCTTCTTCCTTTCCCTTTACCTTCAGAATTCCAAGTTAGCACTTGCTTCACGGTGCAGTTTGATGATTTCTCCAATGTATACCCTATCCACTTCAAACGCCTTTTTCTAATTTCCTCCTCAGCTGGAAGCTGGTTTGTTCTCTCCCATAGTGGGCTGTTGCTGATGTTATCCGGCCGACGAACATTCAGTATCTTACGTAAACAATTGTTTATAAATACTTCTACCCTTTTGATGATGGTTGTGGTAGTGATTTGGTCTGTGTACGACCGATCCCTACGGAATCCAGCTTGTTGATCTCGAAGTTGAACGTCTACCGAAATCTTTCATGTGGTTCAGCAACGCACTGTTAAAAACCTTTCCTGATGCTCAGGGTTTCAATAGAGACCTATTCCTTATGATGGTGCTTGTTGTGGCCCAGAACCCCCTGACACGTTAAAGTCAATGCTTCTTTGATCCCTCTCCTATTGTCTTCCATAGTAGTTTCGCATTCTTCGAGTAATTCTTCCAAGGCTCGAAAATTATTGCTGAGAGTTATCTTGAATTCGTCGAGCTTGTATCTCGAAGGAAGGCTGTATGAAGCCTTTTTAATGCTGCTTATCCAGTTGTCCGGTGCTTCTTTAGCTTCAGTTCCATCTTAACCACAGCCAGGTGGTGATCTGAAGCTATGTTAACTTCTCTCCTGGTTCTCACGTCTTTCATTGTCTTTCTGAAGTGTTTTAGTCACCCCGATCTAGTTCTCTGTAGTGTGGTCGAGTGAGATCCATGTAGCTTTGTGCATGTGTCTGTGTGGGAATGTTGTACTACATATAACCGATTTGGTGAATGCACATAGATTTGCAAGTTTCTCACCATTCTTGTCCGTTTCTCCTATTTAGTCCATGTCGTCTCATGATATCTTCATACCTGGTGTCATCCATTCCGACGTCGTCGTTTGGGTCTCTTTGATTTCTGTTGCTATTTGACTGGTACTTCCAGGCTCCCACATTCTCCGGTTGTTCAATATTCGTATAAAACATGTTGCCGTGGTTGCTAGTAAGGGCATCCTCCTCGTGACTTTGGAAGATTCAAGGCTTTCATCATTAGGCGTTTTAATTCCTCTTTTAACCCCTAGGTCGTAGTTTATATGTTTTAACTTGGCGTTTTTTTGCAGGATCTTTTTATACGGGATGCGTTTGCAAACCCTATGCCCAACCATCCTACTTTACCCGATCTTGGGACCGGTAGTAATCCTAGAACTGCTACAGGAAAGTTATTGATTATATATATATATATATATATATATATATATATATATATATATATATATATATATATATATGTATATATATATGTCGATTATGACAAAAGTTAGAATAGAATATTTCTTTACTCAACTCTTCTCTAAATGAGGAGTTTTATTGTACTAATGTTCATTCAAGTAAACTGAAGTGAACTCTTTTTCTTAATTGTGCCTTACATCAAGTACGTTTATTAAAATCAAACTAGTAATACTGTTTTTTCTGATCTATATTTATGGATACGGATAAACTCCACTATCGTTAGCAATTTTCACTCTGTATCTAGCAACCAACCAAAGTGAAGCAGAGATTATTATTTGCTCTATGGTAATTAACGACGAGAGCGTGTTTTCTCTATTGTTCTTCCGCTCACATGAATGATGTAAAGTTTTTTACAACGAAACTACAAGTCCATCATGAGACGGACGTGTCAAGTATAGCACATTCAGTCATGATGGAAGAAAAATCGCAACTTAGCAAGTCATGTCTCCAATTATTTCTATAGTATAAATTATTTCAAAATATATACAAGTGAGTGATTAGATAAACAAAAACATAACCTTAATTACTGAATACGATACACTCAGATGAATAGACAATGTGAAGTTTAACCCTCCCATATGTAGACAGTAAACGAATAAATCTTCAGATTCTGTAATTTTCTATATTCTGTCCATAATGTTAGTACAAATAGTTGATTGCTACAATAAAGCAGAAAATGAATGAACACAGATATATATATATATATATGGTAACATTTATTAATATTTCAGAAAATCACATTTAAAGTTCACACATTAAGTGTACCTACTTAGCCTAGTATAGAGAAATTTGTCCGAAAATCAATATAAAGTCAGTGATTTACTCAACAAAATATCCTTTTATTTGTTTCGACCAATTTTTTTTACGATGATGATAGCATGCATGACATATGACAGTAGCAACACTAGCAGGGACCCGATAATTAAAAAAAACCAGTCGACAAAAATAAATTCAATTATTTAGGAGTTAATTAGTTAACTTCAAAATCTTGGAGTTCTGAGTTTGATCTGATCTGTAAGAATATTTGTTTTGTAAGACTACACTTGTTGTCAACAAGATTAACGTAATACTCCAGAACTGTGAAATTATTCGGATCGACTAGTTATTTGGTATAATAAGTGCAGCTGAATAATTTAATTTTTATGGTAGATATCCAAGACTTTTTATATAGGATCGCTCGTTCAGTTTGTTACAATAACTATTTAGACATAGTGAAGAGACTTTACAAAAGTAATGAAGTAAACTCCCATCTTAATCAGTTGGATATTCCATATCCAAGGCCTAACAATAATCTGTGCTAATTTATTGAATAAGAACAGTCATTACAATAGGCAGTAACTAATCTGAATCGATAATAATACATGTATCAAAGTATATATTACTTGAATATCCAATCAACTGTTGGTTCGCTTACTTGTGAATATGTCAATTTCAATATTAATAAATACTGTAACTGAAATTTCTCGTCACTGATTTGCTAAACCGAGTTGGTTATGTTTGTTTATATGTTACGTAAATAAAGCTGTTCGGTAACTAATTCAGTTCATTTTTATTAATTGAACTTTGGACTTATGCCGATTGTTTGTCCAATCTTACATTTCTTAACTTTATTGTTAACAGTGATCATAGTTTTCAGTTGTGAACACCAGTCACCTATTATAATAGTGAATACATGGCCATTTTCAAATGCAACCGATGCTGGATGGAATATCCTCAGTCCATCGAATTCCAAAGTATGTGGTTCATCAATAGATGCTGTCGTTGCTGCATGTACAAATGCAGAAGATGATCCAAATATTGAAAGTGTCGGTTATGGCTGTTCACCTGATGAAAATGGACACACTTTATTAGACGCAATGGTGATGGATGGCAAAACAATGGAGGTAGGCATTTACTAAAGTTTTATATATGATAATCAATTTTATTATTATTATTATTAATGGCTTTATTCAATATTATATTTTGGTACAATATAGAATTCTCAGCATAGGGTATTTCAACAAGTTACTTGCGCAAAAAACAGTAACAAATACAAAAAAAAGCTTTAAAAAAAACCTCGAAAAACTGCGCAACTTTTAAAATTAAAGATATGTTAAGAATGCAGGTTATTGACTAGGTTAACTCTAACATCCTGTTCGTCACAGAGTATATTTGCTAGGTAAGGTATTATAGAACTTTATACTTTTGCTTGCGCGCATGGATTTTAATGTAATTACGTCTCGCTCTACCAGAAGATATACAAGGAGAAAGATAAGAGTGAAGGGGATGGTATGGCAAGCCCATTTGGCCACTGTATCATTTGTCTATTGATTCATTGTAACTCAGACTCTTAATTCACTATGTTAATTTCGGTGTGTATGGTCTAATGCATGTCTGTACATTACCCCTTAAGCTATTCTCCTATTGGTTGCAATGTGCAGATAATCGATAATTTATCCACACCCGATTAACTCTCAAAAATATATATGGATTTTTAACACACACACACACACACTCACTCTGTTTCATTGTGCTTGCTCACTGTACGCTAGTGGATTTTTATTAATCATTAACAATAAACTATCTCTATAACTGGTGTTCAGGCTTCTCAATAACCTCGAGTAAATCCGCAATTCTACTAGGAGATTAAGCCTACCTTAAATACTCAGTTTACGGGATATTATTTATTGGAGTCAGATATTGAGGACATTAGCCTCCACAATGGCTAGTATCTGATAAAATAACACCTGCCAGGAGTTTGCATGACTTTAGATGTCTATCTACAACCATTTTAATTATGACCTCGAAAGATTCACCACACATCTTGCTAACTGCCTTCAGCACTCTCCGCAATACAGCAAAGTCTTTTCTCAATAAAACGTGGGAAGACCAAGAGAGATCAGAGGAAAAGGTGACGCCAAGATAATTGACCTTCGACACTGTGTTTATCAAAGAGTCTCCGATGGTACAAGCATTATGGGATCTCAAAATGGTGTTTAGATTCTGTTCATGGCTCATGCTAAAGTTAACAGCTTAACATTTAGACGGATTAAATATAAGACCATTACCAACAGACCAACAATCAATACGAGACAAAAACTCATTCATTTCTATGGGATGTAAAGAGGAAGAGATAGGCATACATACAATGAGATAATCCGCATATTTCACAAAAGTGTTTTCTGTGAAAGATGGCAGATCATGCAGAAAAAAAGAGAAAAGAAGAGGTGAAAGATCCGCTCTTTGTGGTACACCTTCATGAAACAGCAGACTCTGAGCACTTTCCTCTAAACACAGTGTACTGTTCCCTTCCAGAGAGGTAGGAACATAGCCAGTTGGTTATCCAGCTGTCAGTGTTGACGCTGATTAACTTGTTAAGTAAACGTTGTCTTGGTATAGAATCAAAAGCTGAAGTATAGTCCAGAAAAGCACATCGAACATACTTCTGACCCTTTTCTAAGTTGAACACTATGTTGTGATGCAGAACAGCAACAGCATCTAAGGTGCTTCTTTTGCATCTGTAAGCAAAGTGAAATGGATCAATATGCTCTTTTATTGCAGGCTGAAGTGGAAGTAATAATAATTTTTCCTTTGTTTTGAGGAAGCGTGAAGTTATTGCAATAGGTCTAAATTTTACATTCTTATCATCAGATGCTTTCTTGGGTACAGGGATTATCTTCATCTTTCTCCATATTTTCGGTATGAGATTAGATTATAAGGATCTGTTAAAGATAGTTTTGAACGGATAACATAGGACGTCAGTACGCTTTTTAAAAAGGATGTTTGGGATACCATCATGTCCCAAACATCGAGATGTATTAAGTGACTGGAGACATCTTCGTACATCAGTTTCAGTGAAACTAGGAACACAGCTATTATTTAAACCTGTGGATAAAGGGAGCATCACATCAGATGACTGACTACTAAAGTTTTATATATGATAGTCAAGTATATTTATTTTGCGAAGTAGACTTAAAAAATGAGCTATCAAATGACGATTATTCAAACCGACTATTATGAAAATTAACTAACCTTGAAAATGCCCTATCAACTTATATGTATTCGTCAGCATAATTTTTTGACTAAATTCAGTCAGTCAGCTACAGCGTAGGGCCAGAAACATATATGCATCGGTCCAAGTTGTCACACCTCATTATCATAGAAGATGAACACCAAATTGCAGTCCTAAATAACAATGGGAAGATAAAAGTAAACAACACCAAGTGAGTATAACTTCATCCCATTACTCAAGCGGATGGCTATCAGGACTCAGTAGCTAAGTGGATAACGCTATGCCGTTTGAAGCTAACGGTGCTGGGTTAGAGTCCCAAAGTGAACATCAACTCTGTGGTGCGGGTATATCCAGCTGACGAGTCCCAGGTAGGACGAAACGTGGACTTCACTGCTAGCCACTATCCATCTTTATATATATTAAAAGAAGCATTTAACCAAAATCATAGAAAATTGCTAGTTGATGTGGAATTCAGTAAATTTGGTTAGCACATAGAATTACAAAATAACATAGTGAGTCGGACTTGGACAAGTGTATGTAAATACATTGATACGAAGAAGACAAACTAATATTCTTTCATCTATTATGTAATCATGTGAGTCTGAATAAGAATGAATAATACACAAAAATTTTCCGATCTACTAAATATAAGTATGTTTATGCTGTATTATTTCGTTATCTTGGTTCAGTCTATTAGAATATTTTTTTCTACAGTTTTTGAATTTATTGTTTCGTGGCGAGAACACGCTTTGTTTCAGGTACAGACAATTCTCAGGTTATATCAATGATATTTTAGAAATTATCTGCGATTTTTCTTTGAAAACTACATTTTTGTAGGCTGGTGCGGTAGCATCAATGCCTGATATTCGACAAGCATCCCAAGTGGCACGTGATGTCTTATTAAGCACCCAACATACATTACTAGTTGGGCCACTTGCAGCAGAATTCGCAAAGTCAAGAGGATATAAACCAACTTCGTTAGATACGCCTAAATCACATGATTTATGGCTAAAATGGAAAAACAATAATTGCCAACCAAATTTTCGTAAATCATCAAATTGGATTCCAGATCCTAAAATATCATGTGGACCATATAGATGGAATGTTTCTGGTAAGTATTAATACAAATGATTAAGATTTTGAAATAAACTGACAATCATTATTTCCGTACTAAACAAAATATCTATCTATAAACTATCTGTGATATTCTCGCCAAATTGTACATACAGTTGTGTCATTTTGGCTGATCTATACTATAACGTCGGAGTGGAGCGACTTAAGGTGACTATGGGACCTTAACGCTCTTTAATATTTAATATAGGCACATTGTTTCAATGAGATATCTATCAATAAAAATATGCTGAAACAGATATGTAATGTTTTCGTTTAGTTTATTAGTTTCATCTAGATTCGTATCTCGTTTTTCTAATTCCATACTTAGGTTTTGAAGTTAATGGTTCCGTCACATACAATGATTTGGCTACGATTTAAATGAGCGCCATATTGAGCTGTAGTTTCAATGTTTCCAGCTACATATTGATTTCCTGGGATATCTCTATTATTAACACCTTTAATAAAAAGATGTTGGTAGTGTATAATTTATATACTTAGTAAACACATCTGCAATACTAAAAATTTTCAAGTAATATAAGCATCAGTTAAGATTTTAAATATTCTCTGTACTAATATTATATATACGGATTATTATTCAGTATTCCGCCTAATAAACTGTCTGACTGATTGCATGGTTTGCAATATAAAGGTTTATTTTGCTTTGTTCCTAACTTGTTGAGGTGAAGTTAGTTATCATTAATAATGTTGACCATGATTAAAATCAAGCACAATCGTTATTAGATATTAAAACTTTCCTGTCAATATTTACAGTATTTCACAGGATTTTATATGTAACAGACATAGTCCATCACCAATATTTTCATTAACTATTTTTGGTAACACTAAACTAGGGAATGATATCAGAGCATAAAAATTACTAGCATCATAAAGGCGAAGTGATTACTTCAGCAAATTCTACTACTCTCAGTGATGCTATTACCGGACATCTCTTTGACACGGGAAATCAAGTTGTCACATTGAAATCTTTCAAGATAATCCATCGACAGTTAAACTCTAATCTTTTTAAATCTACTGAAGCCATAACAATCCAATGTCTCAGACCGTATTTATATTTTTCAGGAAGAAACTGAAGAAATATTCTTATCATAACAAAATTTTATTATGTCATTGTTACAGCTTTTTTCGATTTTGATTTTACCATTTCCAATTTTTTTTCAAATTCATAACTTTATTTTTTAAGTGACTGATCTTAACTCGTTATTCTTAATCACTATGATCTTGTATTCAGTTGTTCTATTACATAATCAACTGATTTCTTTTACCCTATGAACTTTACTTACTATTTGAATGTTCTGGAATATTCTCTCTCACATTATATTAATTGGCACGACTTTATTCTTTTCAATTTTATAAACTTTATTCCGATCGTCATTCCAACATGAAGATACATATTTACATTCAAATTGCTATTCTGGCATAAGTGTGTTAACTTTTATGATAATTGTAAAATAATACAGGCTGTAAGTAAATGATGTGGACCAAACGAAATAAAATGAACTCATGTTATTCTGTTCAAAGGTCTGTTCTTGCTCTCTTTAAAATTATGTACTAAGATTTTTACAGGTTGAATATCTAAAGATTGAGATTTTGCACAGAAAGTTATAAAAATCTGTATATTATTCAAATACTAACTAGGTATTCTTTATTATCGACAATTTATGGTAAGAAATGATTTTACGCAGCATAATAATACTTTAAATGAAATTATTTTTGAATAGAATAAAATTAGGTTGATTGAAATTGTTCACATCATTCACTGTCAACTGATTCAATTAGAACGTTATATCTTTAGTGAAAAAGTTGGTTATTGCGACTCACCTTTCAAGTATGCATCTGTGCAGTGGGTTTTAAGCTAGACAGTTTATTTAGGGACTACTCATTAAACAAGTGTCGGAACTAAGGCAGTTGAAGGAAAGGCTCTAATCTCCGAACCACTTGTTCAGGGCTGAATGATCTATTATGTTACCTATTGATCTACATAGGAAAAAGTAAAAACAGTACTATCCAACGATTAAATCAATCTAGATTTAAATCCTTCATTCAAAATAAGTTATGTTGTTACATAAAAACGTCCGAACGTAGATTATTTACTATCACACGAATAGGATTACGATAACAATACAGGGAAAGTTGATAATGAATAGAGTTATTATTAAATAATAATTTTCCAATAACATTATTTCTCTAATAATTTAGATGTTAATTTACTTGAATTGAGTGATCAACGTATCAACAAATTAGATATCAATAATCATGATACAATTGGTGTGATTGCTTTGGATGCTTATGGTTCAATGGCTGTCGGTACATCAACCAGTGGGTCAACATATAAAATTCCTGGACGTGTTGGAGATTCACCTATTCCTGGAGCTGGTGGTTACGTCGTGAATAATGTATCCATAAAGTTTTATTTTCATTAAACCTTTTTAATGGATTGACTTGTATCTCTGATAAAATCAATAATTTCGGTTTATTATAATCGTATTTTAATGAAAGATTGACTCTATTAACATAGTTTAGATCACTGAATATTAGGTGTTTAAACTTCGGTGTTTTATTAAGAACTTATCTACTTTATAATGGTAGAATGTCCATTTCTTTGAGGATGAAAATCATCACAAAAAACAACATGTTGGTATAAGCTTTTATGTCACTGTAAACAGTCAATATAACAATCTTAGAGTTTGAGCGTAATTTTTCTCTTGATGATCGCTAATATCTAATATACTCTTTTTTGTTATTAAAAATATTCAGTGTACTATGATTTGCTATAGACTCCAATATTTGCGGAAACACTTTGAAACTTAACGGCGTACTTGATGAAAGCTAATTAATCTTTAAGCTTTAATCGACATCTGGCCCCATCCTAAAGTTTATGTTTGTGGACGAAATAACTCTTCCTTACGAATAGATTTCAAACAGTTTCGTTAGGTATCTGAGGATGAAATGACCGGCACTATTCAATCGTAGTCTAGCTAACATAAGTTTGTTATTTCAACTGTGAAAATAGCTAAATCCATTAAAAATTATTTCATCTAATCAACGTCGAATCGAGAGAACACTCGCTTAGTTGACTTATGAATAAAGCCTTAGTTGATGGAATTTAACATTATCATCACAAACAAGATAGACAAATTTTAATGGATAAAAAGTCATAATAAAAATGCGTCTTTTAGTTTATCAACAAAGAATTACAAATACAAAATTGGTTGTAATATCTAGTAACTTATTTACAAGATGTGTTACAGCTGTCATTAATTGTTAGTTTGTTTAAAGCCTAATTACTTGAAAATTCGATAAACTTTTTACCGAATATGTATAATAATTGTGTTGTATTTTGAATTTGTTAAGATTGGTGGTGCTGTTGCTACTGGTGATGGAGATCTTATGATGCGCTACCTATTGAGTTTTCAAGTCGTTGACTACCTTCGTCAAGGAATTGGTCCAAATGAAGCTTGTAAAAGAGCTTTGCAAAGCGTGAGATCGGTATGGTACTTATTTACTTTAATATGAAGCTTCTACTAAAATTTAATGTGATCAGTCATTTCTGTATAAAATCCCTTTTCAAACGTATGCAATAGTCTTAAGAATTTGCAGGCTTTAATCAGTTAACTCACTATATGGAGTGGTTATATTGACGTTTCAACATAAATGATCTTGGTGATCGTACGTGTCTTAGATTGTAATTTTCAGTCAAGTAATCATTATTTTCATTGTGACTAGGTAATTTCAAAGAAAATTGGCATTTTAGGTAACATAACTCAGAACCGACTGTGATATTTGCCTTAATCCTGCGATTCAATATTATTTGGTACATTTTATTCCTCAAAATCGTCCCTTCTTTCCGAATTTTGTTTTCCAAAGCTGTCTTTTTGACTTATTACTTGGGCGCTTTTGCTGATTTTTTGTTATACTGATGTCTTACAACAATATGCGTGAACCCACACTGATCCCAAGCCCTATGTTGATTTTGACTGATTGATTTGTGGTTTCCGATAACTAAATCTCAACGGCCCCATTCTGGTACCTTGCGATTCCCTAAAAGACTAGATGGAAATAGCGCAAAAATTTATGAATTTGAATCATAACTATGTAAGTTCGACCATGTACTTTCCCAAATTTACATTGCTCCAGGCAGTAACACAAGTCAGAGTAGTTGGAGAAGCGATATGTGTGGTATATATCTTACTTTTGCCTGTAGTTCCAAGAACATAACCTTATCGAATCATTCGATAAGGTTATGTTACCTTGAAAATCGGCGCACATCTCTATCATCTTCCAATCCACATGAATGACATGCTTAGACTTTTTGGATCAAGCAACTTACATATACATGGCTTACACCTTCAACAATTGCTTAGCAGAAGTGCACTATGACCGGAATAAATATTGAGTGATGTGCTCATATTTCTATTTGAACTCAAATATTTTTCCAGGACCATATTCAGCATTATCTGAAGAAAAGCTGGAGCTTTTTGTATTCATTTGGGTATTGTATCAGAGATCAAGTCCTTGGAAATAATGGATATCTCCAAATAGGGAAAATCAATTAATATAGTAAACCATATCATTCTCTATTCCTAAATCGGGTTCGTTCGAGACCATCCTTACAAATTTGATAGGTACAAATAAAGGGCAATCAGTTTAATATCAATGAATCTCTTCAATAAAGTTGAATTGGAATAATGAGATTGAAAATCTATGTACCATTTAGTGTTATTACCTCGGATAATGATTCTTAATAGATATTAACAGCACAACGTAACCATGATGATTAGGAGTATTTGAATTATAGTATGTACTAAGAATCCCAGAAATAACGTAATCGGATCAAGAAGTACTAGATAAGCACAAACGAATGTACTGTATTTAGAATTCGAAATCAAGCATTTGACAAGTACAAAGGAATTATTAGTTCATTCAAGCACCACAGTAACGTCGAATAAATAGTCATTGGCAACAATATGCTTTTTCAGAGTACAAATTAAATTGAACAACACCATAGGACCTCTCAACCTACAGAATCGAAGTTTATTTTCCTGCCCAGTAAAACAATCAGTATGAGTCACTGACAAGCTTGCCCGTGTAATGTAACATAAAGATGTAAAAATATTTGATCAGTATGCTCTTTTTAAAGTCAGAATTTCGTCCAGCGTTTTTACGTCAATGGATCGCCTAACTTGAAGCAAAAATCGTAAATTTGAGGGTGCTGATTAACATCGAGAACCAGAACGTAACACACTGATTACTACCTAGCATTTAACTTTTTCGATTAACTATCACTTTGTTAGTAGATTAGAAATAATAAGTCATTATGTACAATTGCGAATAATTACAACAAGAAATTGTTTCATTCGTTGTGTGATTGAAAACATTATTATATTAAATAGATGGAAATCTATTCAGTTAAGTAAACATTTATGGTAAAACTGATTTATCCTACTAGTGATATATTTACAAATCCATGATACTTATTTAATAATAATTGATCCACATAACTCAAAGTACTGTACTAAAGTTGAATCATTTATATTGCTTAGCCAAAAAAATGGTATGGAGCTTTAGTCGCTCTTACAAGTCAAGGAGAACATGGATCAGCTTGCGTAGGATTCGCTAATTTCAAGTACAGTGTTCGAGCTTCGTGGATTGGTGATCAAACTAAAATAATTGCTGTGTCTTGTACTGAATTAAATGAATTATGAACAAATATTTTCACATGAATGAATATTTAATTGATTGGCTTATTTTTTTTCAAATCAATGTATTTCAAGCTTTCTTTCCCTGTAATTTGTGATACAAAGTTAATTTAGAATAAAAAAGGGTTTTCTTTTCATTAATAATGGAAGAGGCAATAGTGACTATGCAATATGAATGTAACAACAATAATTCATGAATAATGCATCCAAAGGATTTGTGAGAAATAATAAAGTTCTACTAAAAAGATAACTCTTTTTATCGAAACTGAAATTATTAAGATTATAATTCATTTTGAGACGTACTAATAAGAATCATCTATCCTAGTTATTTCTTAATTCTCATTTATCATTTCTCATGTATAATACAGTCAGTCATCTACAACAAAGGATTATGCACATATATGCATAGGTCAGAGTTACCATACATAACTGCCACAACACGATGAACAAATAGATAGAAGTAGTTATCTTAATGGTAGTAATATATAAAAGAAATATTGCATATAAGGATACAACACAGGGAGAAAGAATTAGTTCGTAGAAATGAAGGTATTTAGCAATTTTCATTTCACGGTTTAAGGGAAAACAAAGAGTGTATACACCTAATTAATTGTGATCGATTCTGAACCATGTCACCCAGTCTCCAACCATTGGTGATTAGCATGACTGTGTTCTAAAACCTGACGAATGGTGAATATGTGGTAGATGGATTTACTACCAGGTCTGAAGCCAACCTAATTTTCTCATGTTTGCAGTTCACAAGTCCTTATTAGGCGACCGATAATTATTGAGGCTAGTATTTTGGATGACATATTGGTCAGACTGATCCCTCTATGGTTAACACCGGATGACTTTGACCCCTTCTTACATATTGGGACGATCAGTGATTGAGGCTAGTCAGATGAGATTACGCCTAGTTCCCAGATTTTGGCTAAAATATAAGCAGCCTAATCGCTAAAATTGGACCACCATACTTAAAGGCCTCTGAAGTTAGTCTATCTCGACCAGCTGCTCTTCAGATTAGCTATAGCTTTTTTTATCTTCAATTAGATTCGGGGGCGTATTTCAATGTTTCACCCTGGTTTTTTGGGTAGCTGCAGAGTAGGTAAAGGCCAGCTAAACTACTTACTCTGCCGCCCATCGTTCTAAACGTCTGGGTGGAGAGCAGATAAGTGTAGTCTTTGCTGAGATTGTCTCACACTTTCTCATTCCGGTTTCGTCTATTAGTCTGGAAAGCTATCTGGTGCTATCTACAGCTACTACCTTTTTCACCTCTTTTGCTTTCGTTGCCCACCACTGCTCACGATCATTCATTAGACGTTTCGTTAACCTAGACCTAATTTTTTTCGCTCGTCATCGTGTTCGGAGCCAGATGGGATGAGTTTACGAGTTTATTAGTACAAAAGAGTAGCAGAAACCACAGGTTTCTCGTAACGTTTTGGTTCAAATCACTGATGGATGTGGCTGCTGTTTCCACAGCTCTTCGTATATGTTTCCATGCAACATCTGGGTTAGTCTCATTTTGAAAATTGCATAAATGTAACTTAAGTTGTTTCGAGAGTTTACCTTTGGCTTTCTCGTCACTGAGTTCTACTCTAATGGATCTTCTTAATGTGGCTTTTCTGAGTCCAATGAGGCGCAAGCAGATGCGTGCCCGTATTAGGGCATGATCGGAGTTCAAGCAGGTACTCCAGAATGAGCGACAATCTCCTACCGACCCTCTTTAACGATGAATGATGACAATATGGTCTATTTGAGTCCATCGTTGGTTTGGTGCAGGTGGTTGTCATATTAGACGGTTTCTCCGTATGCCTAAAATCGGTGCTTGCTAAAAATAAACGATTGTTTGAGCACAGTTGCAGCAGACGATCACCATTATCTGTTTGCTGAGCCGGAATAGCAAAATACCCACCTAAATGTTGAGGCAGGAGGAATAATAGGAACTGAAGAGGAGAATCGATTGTGAATACAGTGATATTGATTGTTGAGACCTTATCACCGGAGACGGGTATTCATGGGGCACGGAGGGGTGTGTAATTTTAGGATCGACCATTTCTAACCCCACCCTTCCTTTGTGAGAAGGCAGCATCACTGTTATGCTGGTTGTCTGAGGAGAAAACCTTACTACCGTCACACCTCTGTACAGTCAATATTACGACTTCGCACTTGGACCTTGGGTTTGCTGTTTTTAATCTTATCGTTCTTTAACCGACATGCCTGGCATGGTAGGACCTTGAGGAACGATTGTTGTAGTCAGTATAGCCCGATCGATTCACCACGATAGGCAAGCCGAGCCACCACATCAAGGTAGCCGCAACGGTTGTGGATTTTCAGTACCATGATACTTTAGTACTTGTGAAAAAATAAATTTTCTAGATACTCTCATTAATATAACATATTAGTGTACATTTATGATAACAAAAGAAATTTATTCGATAAAGAAGTCGACTACAATTGAAGAGAATAGTTTCATATAAAACTGAATTAATTTAGTATTTTGTCTAAATGAATACTTATCTGTAAGTAACACACATGCTTTAAATATCATATGACATTAAATACAGTATGAATTTATTTTAACTCAACATAAGAACAGAATTCACATGTCCACTGGAAGTTTGACTACTTGGTGAGAGGAAAATTATTTACACAGACACATTATCTCGGTATATGATATCAAACAGACGTTATACATTAATTGATTTATTTGCTGAATTACTAGTTCCTTTAGAATCTTATTTATGACACCACCGTAGATGCTTTAAGCAGTTATGATATTCCTCTACTTCTAAGATTACAAAACATAAGCACACAGCTATTGTTGTTGAATAGTATGCACCAAGATTATTGTCTTCTACTAGAACTTCATTCCTGATGTTTGACCTTCAAAACAATATCTTTTTCTCAAATAATTTGAAAAATTAGGAAACTATTTAAATCTTATTACTCATTGATCTTGTTATTATCCTAACGAAGAACAAACGAATGGTAACTTCTAGGAATTGTTTATGGACTATGATCATATGTATATTCGTATTCCCTTCAGTTGATCTATTGGCTATTGCGACACGATTTACCATTCTCAACTTATTCTCGATTTATTGGTTACAGTCTCTCACATTCAGTTTTTAGCTTGATCTTATGTAGTAGTTATTTTCTATTTTGTAGTGTGTGGTCCGGTGTAATTTGCTTGTATATAAACTGAGTATGTCTGAAATACATGATTCATACAGTGGAAGCTGAGATTGTGTTCTGGACTCAACGGGCCTGCAAGGCGAGAAGAACCAATAAAGACTCAGAGTTGACTCTAGGTTGCTTGTGCTGGTTAACGCGTCATTGGTTTGGCACAAGGCGAATGTCGTATGAGTCAGTGTTCTGATTGGCGATTTTGTTACGGGATAATTAACAGGCCAAAAGTCATGATGGATCTGAATGGCTGTTCTGGTATAAATTAAGAAACAACTAATGTGAAAATAACAAATTTATTGTAAAAGCTCAACTAAATGTAAAATTTGAAAACTTCTTCAACCCATCAATACTGAAGTAAAAACACTTGCATCTAGAAGAAAAGAAAATAGATAAAATATGCAGACAGCAAATAAGTTGATTTACTTGAATATCTTCAGTTTGGAATGATTTGATAGGATAAACTGAACCGGAATTAGTAACATTTGTATTGTTATTTGGTATCAAACTCCATGACATTGTAGGATTCTAAACAGACAATTTCGAGTTAAAAATTAGTTGTCTTGGACAAGAAACTTTGAGCGTTAACTGGAAAAAAAACTAGACGATCTACAAACATTGTAATGATGCTGATTAAATAACTTAATTATAGCAACATTTATTTGTCTCTCGAGTTATTATTATTATTATTATTATTATTATTATTATTATTATTATTATTATTATTATTATTATGTAACATGCACCAAAAACAACTATATATGAACGATAATTTTGCACTTTAATGAAAAGATGCTATTGGCTTATGTGACGGGAAAAAGTATATTTTCAATCTTGTACAACAAGAATATCTAAAGGTGGATAATTTCTTAAAAGTTAGATGTACACTTCCATAAAAACTGATTGTTTAAGTTTCAAAGTAACCAGCTGAATACCACACGTTATCATGGAAACGTGTGTCTATAGTAATGCTAGAGACTATATTTACAAGCAATAGAAATTTTAAATAAATATTTCAATAATTATTACTGGCCGTAGACGAGATATTCAGTCTTCAGTCCAATATGTTAATCAAAAAGGATAGACTAAATTATTTATATTTCAACTGCTTCTTACTTCATTTTGACATGAAGACGAACAGAAATGTACCCATGGTTCCCAAGTCGTCTCTAAAAAAACCAAGACAAAGACAGATAATAAATCTACAGTTTGAAGGTCTCAAGAATGAAAATGGATTTGTAGATGGATCCAATCAATAATGTTAACCGAATAGCACTAAATGAAGTTCAAAATCAGTACTTTAGAAATCTGCTTTATATTTCTCGAAATGCAATTTCAAACTTAGCTACATCTATTTCAATTTGCATGATCGGGTAGTATACCCAACCATCACAAGTTTAGATGGTACTTAAGTATGCGAACCCGTACTTAACTATTGAGATACGTTAACAAAAAAAACATTACTATTGACGAGGTCATAATCGCACCTTACATTTAATAACTAATGCGAATTAATCTCGACCGATGATGAATCATTTTTTGAATAAAAATGAAAACAGTAAATGTAACAGTAAGAAGAGTTTAGTAAGATTACTGCTAGAAAAAAAAGTTATTTATAACACGAATGAAACAGATTTTTGGAAGACTAAATTTTCAAGCAGCCACTTAAAAATCGATCATTTATATCAGAATATATTCACAGAAATATCACTCATAATTCAGTAATAACATAAGTAACATTCGTCAATCCGTCTAGACAGAAACCAAGCCAACTGTCCTTTACTCATTTATCATGCACTGAAGTTTAGATCTGAAAGCAGTCTAAAAAAACCAAACTGAGTATATGAACAATGTATAACGAGGTATTATCCAACAGCTTCCTCCTGGCATGGGACTCTGTAGCAATGACCGTCCACTACCTCTCCCACTGAAGTAGAGTCCAAGACCTTCAGTCTTGTGCGTGCAACCTTAAATTTTTTACTACTGAGTCGGTATCCAATGGTTTACATGTTTAACTTCAATTAACTCGTAATAATCTGCAAACATCTTTCAATGTACTTGGCGAGTGACTATCTCATACTCTATGTGGCTGAAATCCACTGATCACGGCTTCACACTAGAAATCCGGAACTACCTTTAGAAATTAGTTACTAGTGAGTAACTAATTACTAATTATTAACTAGGGAATGTTCACGTATATTTTGTGATGTTATACAGTGTTTTATAATTAATTTTAAAGAAAACAACCTGAAAACTTTTATTTGTTGAACAATCAAAAACAATACATTATATGAACTGTGTCCACATAGATAAACAATCCACAAGTTGTATTCGTCATTAATTTAGTTCATTTACGAAAAATGTGACTAACAAACATATCATTGTCAAAACGAAGAACTTCAGAAAAGATAACAGAGCCACCGAACTGATATTTTCAGCTTATTATGAACATCAACTAATGGATGTTAAGATTGTTAGTGGTGGGGCTAATACATGGTATGAAACAATGGGTACACAAAGAAGTTAAATAAAAATCCAGTTCAGTTACATGAACAAAAACATACTATTTGCAATTCACATACAGACAAACGTTACTTTTAACACTATTCGTAACTAATCGTTATAAATCCTTACCATACATTTTGTTAAATAAAAAACAGTATAATACTGTTTTCGTGAAGTATCTAAGGTACGGCTTTTTAACACGCAAAAGTTGTTTATTTATACGAGATAGTTTCAGAAATCTATAGCCGTATTAGTAATTTTGAGCAAACAAATTGAGGATTATTTAAATATTATAAATATTTTAACCTACCAAACTCTAGGGGTTGCAGAAAAGAGTCAAGAATTTTCAAACGAATCAATATAGTAGCAAAATATTCTTGTAGTAACGAGAAACAAATATCCTGTCTAAAAAACAAATAGTGAAGCAGAAATTGATGGGGAAGTACATAGTCATTTGCACGAAAAATTGGAGACAAATGGATTAAATTGAAATATATGGGTTGATATAAGTAAGACCACCATTGAGAATCTGGAAGCACTGAATGGTTTTTTCGTCCTAGTATAGGACTTCTTAGCAATGCACATCCATGATCCCTCATGCGGAATCGAACGCAAAACCAGTTCCATGAGCTAAAGCCTAACCTCTAGACCACTGAGCTGACATCCAAAGCTGTTCATGTCTAATCTCATTCAATCCACGAAACTGCTTGACAATCTTCTATTGTTTTAGGCGAATAACTGTTTCACATCTGACATGGATTAGCTCCACTGGTCAGAGCTTCTCATTAGAATTCAGGGAATTTCCTTTAGAAGCTATTCACCAGTAAGGTTAAGCGTTCGCGTTGGGAGCTGAAATCCTTGTTTCGAGTCCGTCACGCACGCGAATGTCCGGCGCTTTAACCGAATCCCAAACCAATGGTGCACATGGGCTCCAGTATCCTGAGGGAACAAATGGCGTATGAACCAATTTTCGGTCACCGGCTGCCATGGGACTCCATCTCCTCACGATGCTCCACTGCCTTGTGGGTTAGACCTTTAGGTCAAAGGCTCGGGGTGTGGCCCCCTAAGATAACCTGCTCCGGTCTGGGCACCTGAGCAGTATCACAGCCCACACGCAAATGATGGACTCTCTATATCTATGGAAACTATTTTCTCGCTTCGAATAACAATCAAATGATTTAAATTATTATTATTATTACTATTAATGTTATTATTATTATTCACTACGACACTATTCACCCTCTTTCATTCCTACTCTGTTTATACTTATTTTTTCGGCTTATACAGCAGCTCGTCTTTGGTGGAAATTCGACTGTATCTAAACGTTCTCGAGTCACTGTCCGGTTGAAAATTGTATGTTACCACCGAATACGAATACTGAAGCAGTTTTTCTGAAACCACGTGCACCATTCAAACTGGCTGCCTTCAACGTTCGCACATTTATGCAGGTCGGACAACAGATAGGGCTGGCTATGTCTTTGGAAAGTCTTAATATTGATGTTTGTTGTCTATCCGAGACCCGTATTCAAGACTCTGGCGAAGTACTACAAATTCGATCTCCATCTGTCGCTTCGAAAAGCTTGTTTTACGTGCGCTTATCCGGGGACCCTGTGGCATCTTCGTCTGGTCTTGCTGGCGTTGGTGTCGCACTAAGCGCTAGAGCTGAGGCAGCACTAGTCGATTGGATCCCCATTAACAGTCGGTTATGTGCTGTTAGATTAGAAAGTTCCATCAAAGTGAGAAGAAATCGGCGTGAGAAACGATGTCTTTTCGTCATCTCCGCCTATGCCCCGACAGATTGCAGCCCGGATGCAATCAAGGATGAGTTTTACCACCAGTTATCTGTTCTTCTCCAGAAAGTGCGTTCGACAGATATTGTAGTACTAGCCGGAGACTTGAATGCTCAGGTCGGGCGTCTAGGCACAGAAGAGAGTCGTTTAGGTGGCCGATGGGGACTCGTTGGTCGCAGGTCAGATAACGGGGACCGTCTACTGCAACTTTGCACAGACCACAACCTGTTTCTGGCTAGCACTAACTTTCGGCACAGTCATCGCCGATGTGCCACCTGGCGTCCTCCCTCTGCATCTCAAGCCTGGACTCAGATTGATCACATCGCGATCAGCTACCGCTGGCGTGGTTGTGTACAAGACTGCCGCTCCTTTTGGAGTACCTATCTGGACTCTGACCATGCCTTGGTCTGCGCCAATCTTGCCTTACTTTTCAGTGGACAACGAAGTGACCGCCATCAACGGATTGATGTTAGCAAGCTGGTTGCAACTTCTGTTGCAAGTAAGTATCGAACCGAGCTAGCCTCTAGGCTAGCTACCACTCCACCGAAAAGTATAGATGAGCATTGGTTGCAATTGCATGACGCCATGAAAATGGCGGGAACAGTCAGTTGTGGGTTTGCGAAACGTCCCGCTTTAAGCACTGGGTTTCTTCTGGTTCCTTACAACTCATTGAAGCCCGTCGGTCTACTCCGGGTGACCGTGAGTTTGACCATAAACGAAGGATGTTACGTAAGGAAATTGGGCAAAGCTTGCGTAAGGACCGAGAAGCCTGGTGGTCGAGCGTGCTAATGAGCTGGAAGCAGCAGCTGCATCTGGTAACTACCGGAAGCTCTTCCAACTCATCCGAGCCACTGGCAGCAAGAAGTCTGGTGTGAGTGAAACAATCTGCGAGGATGATGGGATGCCAATCACTAACATCCATCGACGTCTTGGACGATGGGCAGAATTTTTCGAAGGGCAGTTCAACTGGCCTGCTGCTCCGGCAACATCGGTCAGACTGTCCTGCCCTCCATGGCCGGTGACGACTGATCCACCAAACGAGGAGGAAGTCCGCAAGGAACTCCAACTCTTGAAGCGTTACAAATCACCTGGCCCAGATGACTTACCTCCGGCTCTTTTTAAAGATGGTGGTGACTTTTTGACTAAGGAATTGACGACGTTGTTTACAAAGGTTTGGGAACTAGAGAGTGTACCAACGTCATGGAATGAGTCGATAGTTGTCCCTATCTTTAAAAAGGGTTCACGTCGTTCCTGTAACAACTATCGGGGGATAAGTCTACTTCCGATTGCGTCCAAGCTATTGGCTTCCGTCATACTTCGTAGGTTGTTCAAAACCCGAGAAAGATTGACTCGCGAGGAGCAGGCTGGGTTTCGTTCTGGTCGAGGATGTATTGATCATATCTTCACCCTCCGCCAAATGTTAGAACACCGCCATACTTATCAAAGGCCAACAATCGTAGTGTTTCTTGACATCAGGGCTGCCTTCGATTCGTTGGACAGGACTGTTCTCTGGGATTGTCTATTGAAGAAGGGTGTGCCTGAGAAGTTTATTAACATCCTAAAAGCCCTATATAAAACACCTCAGGCAGAGTGAGGGCATACAACCACCTCTCTCCATTGTTCCATTCGAGCAGTGGGGTTAGGCAGGGTTGCCCAATCTCACCATTCCTCTTCAACTTTGCCATCGATGACATTCTGGAAACAGCTCTGATGAATGTAAGTAATGGTGGTGTGGATCTGTTGCCTGGAGAAAGACTTCTCGACCTTGAGTATGCGGACGATATTGTCTTACTGTGCGATAATGCCCAAGGCATGCAATCCGCACTTAATCAGTTGGCAATCAGTGTCCGTAGGTATGGTATGTGCTTTGCACCTTCGAAGTGCAAAGTACTTCTACAAGACTGGCAGGATTCTAATCCTGTACTCACCCTGGATGGTGAGCAGATAGAAGTAGTCGAGAAGTTCGTGTATCTGGGTAGCTGCATAAGTGCTGGTGGGGTGTGAGTGATGAGATCAATGCACATATAGTGAAAGCCAGAGCGGCTTATGCCAATCTGGGCCACCTTTGGCGCCTTCGTGATGTTAGTCTGGCTGTAAAAGGTCGGATCTACAACGCGTCGGTGAGAGCAGTTTTGCTCTATGCTTGTGAAACCTGGCCTCTCCGAGTTGAGGACGTTAGACGACTCTCTGTGTTCGATCATCGCTGTCTCCGAAGGATTGCTGACATTCAGTGGCAACACCATGTCAGTAATGCAGAGGTTCGGCATCGTGTGTTCGGGCACAGAGATGATAATTCAATTGGTGTCACCATCTTGAAACACCGACTTCGGTGGCTTGGACATGTTCTACGAATGTCGTCCCAGAGAATTCCACGTCGTGCATTATTTGCCGACTCTGGGACTGGTTGGAAAAAGCGGAGAGGTGGTCAGTGCATGACATGGTGTCGTGGTATGAAAGAAAGCTGCAAAGGACTGGCTTGTGTTGGTCCTTCACGACTCCCTGGTTGGGGTATGAGAGATGGTGCTACACAGTGGCTAGAGACGTTATCAGATATGGCTCAGAATAGAAGCCAGTGGCGATCCTGCTGTAACCTTCTTTTACTTTCTTCATAAAAAATGGTTGTGTCTCCCTTACCTGAAAGATTTCTTCTGATTGTACCTTTCCATTCCCCCATTATCACTATTATTATTACTACACCACCTTACATCCATCTCTTCGTTATTATTCTCTCTTCTTTTCCTTCCCCTTAGATTCTCATTGTTTTGTGTGGCGCATATATATTTGGTGCCCTGTTGTACCAATATTTATGTGTTCAAATAAAATAAATAATCACAGATTGATAATGCTGAGCCCCATATTAGGACAAAATGGCCGCTCAGTGCTCCCAAGTTTTTTATGGTGGTCTTAGATCGGTTCATTAATTTAATGAAATTCAAAAATCTTCACAGCCCCTTACTGACGGAAGGGAATAGTCGCAGATGTATGTATGTATATACTATACATACCTTAACGGTAAAACGGTTTTAAATCTGGTCAGTAATGTACCGGCCAACAAAGATCAATATAAGTTACTTGGTGGGAAATGTACCAATCGGTAAAACTGCATGCAAGAGTGAAAGAAGATTAGTTACGTATATGTTATGATTTGTCAAAACGTAAACTTGACGCTAGACAACAATTAAGTTAAAAATAAAACATGTCGTGACGTGCGGTATCACAAATCTGATACTGATACACAGTAAGATATGCGCTGACCCACCCCCTTGAAAGATTATTTGAGTGACAACACAAGAGTGAGTGAGAAAGTGTATTACACCATCGAATGAAATGAACAAATACTCATTCATATATATACCACTCTATCCTTAGGAAACTGACCCACTGACTCCAATAAAATGTACTTGACCTTTGGGTCACTTCTGATTGCCATCGATCGATCTTTTGTAACTTCCGATTGGCTCTCCACATCAATATATTTGTAATATCCCAATGAGCAGAAAAATCAAATTTCCTGACATTTCGTGACTCAGTGCTAACCACTTCTTCCGAAAAGAAATAAACAAATTAAATTAACCCAAGTATGAACAGTACGAAGTAAGAATATTTGATGTGATG